CATATGCGTTATGAGTATAGTGTGTTGTGATATATGGCTTCGAGCCAAGTTGGGGAGCTTGCTAGTGGTTAGTGGATTGGTGGTTATGTACTATGTTAGTTCTGATTTGATGCATGCTGGTGAATCAGCTCTGGTCGTGGAGATTGGGCCGAGAATGGCACGAGTGAAGGGAAAATTTTGACACAGATGTCATGAGCTCGGAAGAGCAGGAAAGAAGTTTCGATTGTTAAGGTAAATTGGTATTGTCTTCAGCGTCACCTAAGATCGGTGTTTTGTAAAAAGGGCTTTGCGTCCTGGCTAATGATTCTTGATCGCTCTTCAGCGTTAGTGCGACCGGTGGTTTGGAGGTACGCCCCAAATATTGTTGCGGCAGGTTGTGGGAGTGTTCCCACTGGAAGATTATATAAGTGTGGCATGTAGTCACTTGACTGATTAAAGATGTAAACCAAGTATCAAGGTTGTGATGGTGTCGTTAAATTGAGGAATTCATGCCTGGAGGGCACTTGGCATATTGGGTTATGAACTGGGAAGGATTACCCCGATTGTGATGGTTGTTCTTGTGTGTTATGTGAAAAAGGGAGTTATTATGGACCCTTGAAAGGTTGTCAAACTGGTTCATTGTGAGCAGAATCGGCTTGAAGTCGGTGGATGGACTTAATGTGAATAATGGATCTATATCAAGCCAGATGTGTGCATTTTTGTAACGCGGTCCTCATGGAGGAGTAGTTAGGTTGATGCTTCATTGCCAGATATCTCGCGTAGTGTTGCATTACGCCGTGTGATTTGTGAAATGACTCGAGAAATTGCTTATGTGTTGAGAATCCGCGTAGGAATGATATTACTTGAGCAGCTTGGCTCTTGGAATTCAGACTGTATATCGCACCTCAGTTGTGCTTGAGTTTTGTAGCCTATAACGCTAAATATCCCTCAGGGATGATATTATGCACTTAGCATGCTCATGACCGATATTCGGTATTTTGTTATAATGAGCAGATTTGGCTCGACGTGTATCTCCTTATGCGAGATCTATGTGTGGATCGGGTGGCACGCCGCCATGGGTATGTTATCCGGATTGGGTTGCACGCCGCAACAGTGTGAAATCGAGTATAGTTTTCTATACGCTATCTTTGTATGCCTTGCTACCTGTTTTCCAAGGAAAGTCTGTATTAGTGCGTAGGATTTGGTAATTCCTTCCAGAGCTCGTTTTCTTTTGTATTGCGTTCGAATTGGTAGCCTATTGGCACATAAGGGCATCATATACGACTTATAATTATGTCTGCAGTGGCTTATTGCCCGAATAGTTCGTACTGGGTAAGACGAGATCATTGAATTTGAGATCAGTGCAATCTGAGTATGTGAAGTAAAAATTAAAGAGCTAAGACCATTGTTTGGCTCAGAATGAGGTGATAGTTCTTGCCAAGAGTATAGAACTAATGAATTGTTGTTTCGGTAGTAGTTATGAATGTGTATAGGTCTCATCCGTCGTGTCAGTATTGTAAGAATTTGAGCAAGACTTGTGTATGTCATGCAGAGCATGGGATGTGTAGTGATTCCTCCTAAGTGATTAGATAAATGATCTTCGGATGATTGGGGAAAATGATATTGCTAAGTGGAAGTGATTTGATGAGAGTATATGTCTCAGAAAAAGGTAACGTGATTAAACTGATTATATTTCGGCAGTAGTGCGGCATGTTCTTGTTGGGTCCACTGGTGGTATTCGAGTTTGCTCGGTAACACAGGTAAATATCGAGTA